GAGTCTTCTGATTAAATGCTGACACTTCAGCTAATGGAAACTACCCTATGGTTTGAATTTGACCTGGACAGTCTTCACTCCCTGCCCTAATTTGCAGTTGCATCTTCTCTTACGATAGTGTTGTATAAAGTAAGACCTCTGCAACTATGTAAACAGCTTCATCCAGAAGCTGGACACCTGGGCACAACTGCTACTGATAACAGGTAAAGGGATTATGGTTCTGATGCATTGTCGACATCAACATGAAAAGTCCAGTCAATCCCCTGTAGATGGCCAGTGTTAATCTCTTGATATTATCTATTTTCTACTGTCTTCAGTGGTATCGCGTTTTGTTTTGGGGATAGAAATTCCCTTCGTCCTAACGAGTGAAGACACCAGAATTAGTAAAACACAGGATTACACAAATGGCCACAATCTCAAAGAATTGCCAACTCCAGAGTTTGACTCTATTCTAATGTCTCTAGCTCAGTAGAAAGCAAAATACTTTGCTCTTGCAAGCAATAGTTCATCTAAGAAAGTTAATGGAAAGTGGATGAATAGGTCCATACTGCATCCATCATACCAAACGTGTCTTCTATTTATTTGAATTAAAATAATCTCCAGCATTCTCCTTTGATACAGATACAGAGCCACTGAACTGCAACCTTAGACTCGACTCTAAAATCTCCCACTCATGCACTTACACGTTAGTAACGATCTACAAGGACACGGAAACTCTAGAAGTGTTGAGTCCCATATGGGACGTACAATCTTCTCCCTACACCAACGCCCCAACTGAATACTTTGGGTGATGGAGAGATCAATAAAGGATTGATTTGACCAAAGACTTGAGTAAAGTAAAAGATTCTGCTATTTGTTCACATACTCATTCATTTATTCAACAAATATTGATCTGTACCTGGCCTTTTGAAGTTTCTGATCAGGAAAGAAATTATAGGAAAATTATTATTGTCAGACTCTCAAATGACTGGTTTATAACTTTATGGAGGAGAAGAGCCACAGACTCTATAGAGAAATTGTTGAAAGCTAAAAACCTTCAAAAACAGCACCAACACCAACAAAAAGACACCTAAAATCCAGACAAACACCCAAATGTTTACATGCTACTTCAAGGGTTTTTAAGTGTTTCTAAAATTTGCCTAGGGACACATGCTTAGGAACCACTGCTCTAGATCAAAATCCTCCCATGAACTAGCTGCAGGCGGTCCACAACCACTCAGTGTTACACTTTTCCCATCATGGGCATTCACCTTAACACTGTGCCCATCAGTGTTACGGTAGTACAGAATTGAGAGATGAGAACACGGATTTGGGTCACACACAGACACACACACACACACACACACACACACACACATTTTCTAAGTTTGCCACCAGTTCATCACTCCATTGTGGGACAAAATATACTTTTTTCAAAAACTATAAATATTCAGTAGAAAGAGTAGAAGAAGTGTAGTTCTTTTATTTGTATAGACTAGATAAACACAAATTTTTGTAAGTCAAAAAGAGTTTTAGAGGCTCTTAAAAACTACTTTAAATTCTAAGTTAAATGACAAGTCATAATAATTTGTCTCCAGGTAGGGAAGAAAGAAAGAAAAAAACCTAACATAAATATACATTGATAAAAATCAATGAGTCCCAGGAATTTTGTCTGAAAGAGCAGATTATATCTTACCTGGAACTCTCAGTTTCATTAACTTCTTCCATCTTAGCTATACCGGGTGCTAATGCTCCAATTCATAGAGCCTTGGCCCAATTTGTCTCTTTTAGATCTCAGAATCCCACTAGGCAAACAAGATCTAACATGAAGACAAACATCTTGGTGAACATTAAGATATCAGTGAACTATATATTGATGGTGCAAAGGAATTGTTTATTTTTAGGTGTGATAATGGTGATGTGAATTTTTTTAAAAAAGGAGTTCTTATCATTTACAAATACATATTCAAATATTTATGGATAAAACAGTATGATGTCTGAAATTTTCCTCAGATAATCTGGAGGGCAAGAGAGTGCTGAAGTATAGATGAAACCAGATGGGCCAGGAATTGATAATGTGGAAATTGTGAGACACTACTTTGAGGACCGAGTGTATTATTGACTGATTGTATTATTCTTTCTTTTTTTTTGCATACGTTTGAAATTTTTCACAATAAAAAGGGGCTTTTATAATTAAGAAATCATGAGAAAGTGGAAACAGCCCAAATGTTCAACAACTGACAAATGGATAAATAATATGTGGGATATCCACACAATGAAATATTATTTGGCTATAAAAAGAAACAAAATACTGATACATGCTACAACATGGATAAACCCTGAAAACATGATGCTAAGTGAAAGAAGCTAGACACAAAGGACCACATATTGTACAAGTTCATTTTTATGAAATGTCCAGAATAGGCAAATCTCTGAAAACAAAAAGTAGATGAATGGTTACCTGAGGACAGGGAGAATATTTGAACATTTGGAGATGATGGCTATGAGGAAGGGAGTAATAAAAATTGATTGTGTTGACTGAGGTACAACTCTGTGAATATATTAAAAGCCATTGGATTATGCATTTAAGAAAGAAGACATATGAGGAACCATATAGAAAACATGAATATCAACTCTATGTTAGACACCATTCGAGAAGTATTGTTAATTTTGTTAGAAGGGATAATGGCATGGTGGTTATGTAAGGAAATTCCTTATTTTTTTATGATAGCATACTGAAACACTTTAAGAATGAAATATGATGTCTGGGATTTGCTTTAAATCATCTCAAAAAATATATGGCAAAAACTAAATAGTTGTTCTATCTAAGTGATAGATATATAGGATTTATTATGCTTTCTTTCCTATGTATGTTTGAAATTTTGAAAAAAAAAAAAAAAACTTCAAAAAGAAAGCAATGGTATATGGGGATAGGTATATCAGAATGGTTCTTCCCACATGAACATTGCCATCCTCCACAGCATGTTAGCTCTGTGTTAATACTGGAAGGTGGCATCATGTGGGCAAATAAGACTGAGAAACACTGAGTTAGAAACGACTACAAGACTCTTCAGCATCTTTACTATGCGAAGATGCAAAATAAATCTCTAAGACTGAAGATATTATATGTTATTACAAAAGGTTTTCTTCCATCTGCATTCTGTTTATCAGATAATATAAATGGCAAAAAGGCAAGATCATTCTATAAAATACAGCCCATCATTTTTGATAACTGTGACTTATCTTACTACAACAGGCCAATCTTATACTGGTACTACTTCTTGATTTTAGAGCCAAGAAACTAATAATAGACTAGTTCTACTTTTTTCTTTTTTCAAATTTCTCAAACTACCATTTGCTTGAAAAGGTAATATGTCTATGGTTCAGAACAAGCCATGGTCCAGACCAATGGTGCAAGGTCTGAGTCATAAATTATATATCGCAGAACTTTAACCCTACCAATTTCTGAAGTATTGCCTCGTTACATATGCTCAATGAGCTGGAATTTTGTGATGTTGGAGGAGTACATGGTTTTGGTTGACCAAACCAGAGATCGATGCTTCACAACCCCAGTGTTCTCACTTCATCCTAGTCCTTCAGAGCATATTGCATATCCATGACACAGACAAGTGGAACAAGTTTAATATACATACCTCCTAGAAATTTCACCATCTCCCTCTCCTGAGTCATGGGATAAGGACCTCAAAGTGCTATTCTATGACCTACCCTTTTGCTTTCAGCTGCCCAGATGTTTCAGTGAACCCCCCCCTTAGCACTCAAGCCTTTTGGCAGAAGAATCACAGAATTTGAATTATTAATATAAATTAGTTGTCACAATTCTAGATGCTGCAGTTAGCTCAATATAATAAAATACACCTACAAGACATTAAATCTTAGGTACATTAAAATTTGCTCTGAGGTGATTCCAAAAATGAGTATAAGTAATTTGACTTTAACATTCAAACTTAGACTCAACTAAACTGGCCCATCCTGGGTAATAATTGGTGAGCCCCTCTAGAGAGGCACTGTTATGTCACAAGGTTGAAAGTATCAAGTGTGAAATCAGATTGTGCATTCCAAGTTCAGCTTCACTATGTATTAGCTATATGACCTGGAACACCTTAGTTCTTTTTTTAGTCCTCAGTGACCCTTCTGAAAAATATAATATAATAATACCTACTTCATAGGGATTTTGTGAGGACTCACTGAAATGATATGAATAATATGCATAAAAATTTAATGCCGTGTTTGTACATGGTATGTCTAAATATTGCTATTATTACTGGCAATATTTAGATAATTGTTTAGATAAAAAATGTATGCAGATTTCCACACTTGTTTTATTTTTCTAAAAAAAAATTAGTGTTCCACTAAACACACTTGGGAGTAACACTGATTTCAACATAATTAACTTCTGATCCTTAGTATCAAGCACAGTACACCTTATATGATGGATGTGTAAAAGATGTCTTCATTGAAAATGAAGGATGAATGATTAAATCAGATTTTTCTAAGCCTCTGGATGAAAGTCTTCTGGGAAATTTTCAGTTGATGGCAGAAAGGAAGCCTCTCCCCACCCACTGTACATCCTACTAGGACAGAATAGGAACACATTTCTCTAAATAAAGTTTAATATGTGCCTGAAAAGAGCATCATGACCAAATTCCATGTTACACTGGCATCAGAATTTCTTTGAATGTGATTATTATCTTAAGCCACATTCCAATGAGCCAAAAGTATCCTGTGGTGAAAAATAATTACTCAATTGCTAGTGGTTGGCAGATATCCCATTTATATACAAAAAAAAAAAAAAAGACTTTAAACTTGCTTTTGCATTTTTCATTTCAATACCAGTTAAATCAAAAGTGGATTGTGATTAAAATGGGGACATTTTTATGCGCTAGAATTTACAGTATACATTTTCTAAATTATATTCTTTTTGGTCTTGTTTAATAAAAGGTTTGGTCCTTCTTGCTTTTTCCTTTCCACACGAATTAGATTTTAAACTTTTCTTTTTCTAGTGAGAAAAATATTGAAGTCCTACACGTGCCTCTACAACCCAAAATGACTTATGATCTACTGATGACTTCACTGCTCCTCGTTTTCAGACTTTACCTTTGGATACTTCTTAAACAGAGAAGAATTATGCTTGAAAACTGACCTCTTTCTTTAAAGTTCAAAGAATATAGCAATTGAAGAAGTATAAATTTGTTTCAAATTCAGAGGCACAAAAGTAACAATTGGCTTTAAAAATTATATATTTCAAGAAAAGTCAAAATGAAACAATTCTAATTTGCAGTCATTCTTAGGGATTTCTAAACATCTTTCTGGGTTGAATTTAGGGTATAGTTGATAAATAAGAAAACTTTTTTTTTTTTTACTTTAACAATATTCTAGTGGTCAAAAATGTAGTGCTCAAGCTTGGAATGGCCAAGGGAAAATGAGATCCATGTTTATTCTTAGATTTGCCAAATGCAGGCTATATTACTAGCATTGGTTGCAAAGTCTCTCAAGGGTTTAGTTTTCTCATCTCTAACACAGAGGATTGGACTAAATGACCTCTAAAGTCCTTTTCAGTGCTTTGACCCTGGATTGGAAACAAATAGATGATGGGAAAAATCTAAATCACTGTGAACTGAAAGGAATGTGAAGGAAGCTGTTGATAGTAAAACATTCTGAAATACCCAAACTTTATTGAATAGAATCAGACTATAATGAAAACAACATCTGGATGTGATTGTTAAAAACCAAATGCAAAAGGGGAATCCAAATTATGCTAGATGTTACACTGACTAACATCAGAAACTTGGGAAAAGAAACAATTTAAAAGAAAAAACAAGACAGAAATGGCCCATACGGAAAGAGTGGTTGCTATAAACCAAGGTATGTTCAATATAGGGGAAATGAAAAAATACTAACGTCAAGGAAACTGACAAAGCCAAGAATGTGAAATATCCCATTAATACAATGCTTATGTTAGCCTAATTGACTTCAAAATATTTTATCCTAACTATAACACAAATTTATATCTCCATGAAAGTCTAAATGATAGGCATTACCCAGACAAGAGTTCTGTCTTTAAAATGTTAAATTAGATTTACAGCTGCACTTGTCAATCTGTTGTACATTTTTATCTATCCTTTCCAGAAGAAACATTTTTAGTGGTTATGGCTACTAAATGTTCCCAAATTGAGAACATTTTCACTGGTGGGGTTTAAATATTTGTTAAAATTTTCTTTTCTCTAATTTGACAATGTTGAAAATCTTCCTAGGGCCATTTTCATCCATATATCACACAAGGTCTCTACAACAGCAGAATCTTGTGAGGTGTATACCAAGTCAAAATCTCAGGGCTATGTAAAAAGATAGGTAAGGGTAAAAATAGTAAAAATAACTACCACTCACACCATTTATTAGAAACTCGATACATAAGCCTGACACATACCAAGATGTATTAGGTGGGTGTTATCTCTGCATTAGAGTTGAAAAAACTAAACTGAAGCTTGTGGATGTTAAGCAACTTTTATAAGGTCATGGGCCTGGCAGATAGCAGGGGTAGAACTTGACCCCAGCTCTGTCAGTCTCTAGAGTCCATACTTACTCCACTATGTCCTGCTGGATTGGACAGAGGCAGAGCATGAAATTACATATGGCTGCAAAATGTGTGTGTGCACATGCATGCAGGCATATGTTTCTTTGAGGTGAGAATCCACTGTGTGAGTCAGCTTCTCCTGGAAGTCCATGACCCCAAAAGGATTTTTTAATTCTTTAACCTCCAATACTGAATCCAGCAGATTTTGCTTGGGGGAAAAAAACTACAAAAAAAGAGAACAAGATTAGAAGTTCTCATCCAATCACTTCATAGAAGTTCCCATCTGCATACTTCATGTGTGTACAGGACTTCAAAATCTACATGGCTCTGTGCTCATCACGACCACAGCCTTACCAGAACCTCCTGTTTTGCACAGGAGGACACAGAGGCTCAGAGAGAGAGTTGATAGTTCATGTGAGAACACAGCACTAGCTAAGGCTGAACCCTTTCCTAATGCACAATTCCCATCTGAAACTCTTCGCATTCTGAGAGCATGTCATCCTCAGGCAAGTCACCTAGGCCCTTGGACCCTACACTCTCTCCCTCTGGCTGAGTCTCTCAAGCTTCCACTAGTTCTAACATTCTGAAATTACTGAGGTCCCTGCCATATGCTTTTGATAGTATTACAGAGTCGAGGGAAGCCATTCCCAACCCTTCTGTCCAACAAAGAAGGGATGAACTTCAGTTTCCATTGGAATAATTTGTTTTTTTAAAAAAAAATAAATGTGAGCTCAATCTCTTTCTCCCAATTGAGATCACAGTGATTCTAAAGTAAAGCAGTAAAATACTACCCCCACCTGAAAAAGCAGCATGTCCTTCCCCAGGCTACTGAAGGATCCAATGATTCAGGAAAACATGTTCATTTCAGCAGTTATCCACCCAAACCAAATTACAACATTGGCAGATGCCTAATTTATGAATCCACTTAGCCTCATATTTTCTGACCCCTTTCCAAAGTATCTGTTATAAACCTGCATATCTTGTAGGCCCTGTTCAATTTCCAAAACACGGTTGAATATTTTCCTACAAGCTTAAACATGCCTAATGTGCATAGATCCTTTCTGTTGCTAGCCCCAAAAGAAGGAGAGGGAGGAAAATTGGGAGGAATGGAGGGACACGTACAGATGTGTATTGTGGAACTGTAGAGCCTTGATAAATCTTCTGGAGTGGCAGGGGAGAGAAGGAGAGGAAGAGAGAGATGGGGGGGGAAGGGGGAGAAGTAAGGAAGAGGAAATATGGGAGAGAGAGGAGAGAAGGAAAAACATTATTCTAGACAACCTACATGAGATCACAGCTATCGAGGAGGTAATGCTTCCCTTTGTCAGATCTCCTTGGAGTTACTCCACTACCTCCCCTCCATCTGTTCTACAGCGGGGAGCAGTGCGTGTGTGCCTCGGGGCAAATGTTCAGGTTTGCGGTCCTACATGGTCTATGACCATCTGCCTACTTTTCTATTTGTTCTCCAGCCAATTTGAGCAATTAAATCTCTATAGCCCTGCTTAGATGATTTGGATATCAGTGATCAAAAGATACCGCCTCTTGTTCTACTATGCACATTCCACTGAATCAAACTCCTCAGAAAGCCGCCATTTCAGATTTCTTTCTTGGGAAGACAGAGAGATTGGCCCTTGGGTGGCAAGGCCATGCAGGAAGTTCTCTCACCTCAGCATTACAGAAACATGATGTGGGGTATCTTTTGACATAGCATCTACCAAGAACCCCTAAACTTTTTCAACAGGAGGATTTTAACTCAGATTTATGCCTTTTACAGGTTGTTGGCCATGCCTTTAACTGGTACTCTTTAAATAAACTTAAAAAAAAAAGTAAAGCAGACTAATTTAAATCTTAAATTATAATTATTGTCTCTTAATAACAAGACTCTCCTTTTACACTGTCCCTCATGGCAAAACTTCTAATCTCTTTTGGGCACACCCCCTGTTTTAGCCACCCTTCACTCAACTGCGTCATATAGTTTCCTCTACAAACTTCCCTAGATTTGGTCTCCCGTTCCTGGGCTGTTTACAGAAACAGATAAAGAGAATGACTTTTCACTTTGTTCTTTTAACCATATGGCACGGATGTGTCTAAGAATGGAAGTCACAGGTCCCATGAGCACAGGACAGAGGGAGGGAGAGAGAATGATTTATGATGGTCGAAGTGTGGGGTGGTACAGGAAGATAAGAGAATAAAACAATCTCTTGCATGAGCCTTGTTCTCAAGGATGATTAAAAATAAATAGCTGATCTTTCCTTCTGCTTGAGTGAAAGACTTGTACTGACTTGTAGGTGGTGGGGGAGGCCATTACTTCTCATAAGCACTTTTCAAATCAAATCACTCAAAACAAATGTTTATTGCATATTTACTATGAACAAGACTCTATTAATAATTTCACCTTCTGTACTTAAACAAATTCAGCTTTCCCCAATGTTTAGCTGATTTTCACCTTTCTTTCATATCCCTCCTGAATCTTCTACCCTTGAGTCCTGCTCAGCTCCTATTTTCCCTTTTATTCTAAGAGAATATAACATTTTATTAAACATTTGCCGTTAGTCACTGAAGCTTTTTTTCCCACCTTCCTGTACATTGAGTAGTTGTTTGGGGCACATATTTACCAAGCTGATTCTTTGTAAATTCCGTTAACCAGTGAGCTGACTTAATGTTTACTTTAAGAGCTGTGTGCAAACCTCAAGGTAAATATGACTGATCTTCCCAAAATGCTTTTCTCAAGAATGCCCACACCTTCACAACTTTTTTTTTTTTTTTTTTTTTTTTGAGACAGAGTCTCACTTTGCTGCCCAGGCTAGAGTGAGTGCCGTGGTGTCAGCCTAGCTCACAGCAACCTCAAACTCCTGGGCTCAGGCAATCCTCCTGCCTCAGCCTCCCGAGTAGCTGGGACTACAGGCATGCGCCACCATGCCCAGCTAATTTTTCCTATATATATTAGTTGGCCAATTAATTTCTTTCTCTTTATGTTAGAGACGGGGTCTCGCTCTTGCTCAGGCTGGTTTTGAGCTCCTGACCTCGAGCAATCCACCCTCCTTGGCCTCCCAGAGTGCTAGGATTACAGGTGTGAGCCACCGCGCCGAGCCAACACAACTTTAAAAGTTATAAACTTCTCAATGGTGAGACTGGGTCTCAAATTTCACTTCTACTCTCTGTAAGCTCAGAGATATAAACGGAACAGAAACTCAATAAATAGATACTTAAATAGATTTTATTTCTTCCTTTTCTAGATGTTATTCCTTTCTGGAAGCTGAGCTCATTCTCTTTTTTAGCTCGTATATAAAAGTGACTTGTATTAAGTTTTATGGCTGCTATTATCAGAGATTTGTCCAACAAGAATAGCCCGGCTTCCCAAAAGAAAGGATAAGCCTCCATGTGCGTTTGTGTTTATGTGTGTATTAAATAGGATACATTATATATTATATAAAAATATATAATAAACAAGTAAACAATCAAAAACAAATGACAATTTGG